ACCTGATGGCCACACGGTGGCCGCACATTTGCTCACATGACAAGCACGCGTGGCCTCCTGGTGGCCTCCGTCAGGTGTGCGGCTGATGCTGGTCCATGGAGGACACGGGCTGGGGTGACAGGAGACAGGCGGGCGGGCAGACGGTCCCCACTGCCGTGTGCCCCCTCACCCCACGACCCCCGAGCACGCCTGTGCTGCCTCTCCACACGGGCCCGGGCTTCCGGTCAGCAGGCGGCTCTCTGGTCTCCTACCCAGACCAGGGCCGCGGGGCCTCCCTGCCCCCATGGGCTGCCCGGGGTGGCCGCGAGGTCTCGGAGGAGCAGAGCGCTCTCCCGGCAGGAGGCTCTCAGCCCAGGGCTCCTGAGACGTTTGGGACGACTCGGACACGAGGGAAGAGCCCAGGGTACTCAGGAAGCAGCTCACACGGGGCAGGGGCACCCCGAGTTCGTCAGCGCCAGAGGCGGGGGCCATGGAGGGCCGAGCCAGAGGGACGACGGCCTTCCCTCCACGCAGAAAGGGCCGAAGTTCCCGGTGCAACAGTGAATGCTGTTCCGACGCCAGCTCACAGACAGCTAATGAATTTTTCATGCCAAGAGACTCGAAGTACTTTGTAGCAATTGGACCCGTTCCTGACAGCTACTGGATTTAATTGCTGCTTTTTGGAAGGCGGGGGGAGGGCACAGGAACTCGTAGGGACTATCAGCAGCTTCGGGGAGACTTCCCAGTGCTCGGTGTTGGGCCCACAGGGAGGCCCGCCAGGCTCAGAGCCAGGGACGGTGGCTGACCAGCCACCTCCCTCCCGGGTGTCCATGCCCGGGACGTGCACGTGAAATCTGAAGTCCGTGTGCGGAGGTGACCACGCCTGCGGCCCCTCCCTCGGGGGGCAGTGAGTGATGAGACCGGACGGGACCCACGCATCACTCTGCCCCAGGCCTGGGGTCCTCAGCTTGAAGTGGGGTGCCCGCACCGTCTCGGCCCCATGGGGAGGGCGCCCCCCGCCCCCACTCACAGAAGAGGGTGGCCGGGCACGGAGAGGTTAGGGGTCCGAAGTGCACCAGACTTGCGAATGGCGACACTGGTCTTTGAAGCCCCGTCTGCCGAGGTCCAGAGCGGGCACCCTCCACGCCCCCCTGCGGCCTCCAGGTGGAGCTCAGAGTCCCGGGACCCGGGCCGGGCTGCGGGCCGGCCGCACGTGGGGGCGGTCACCGCCACACCAGGACGACCCTGTGAGCCTCAGTGTGGTTTGCACGCCGGCGCGTGTGCATGAGTCTTCCGGTCGGCGGGGCATCGAACCAGTGAAACATCGTTACTGTGAAAGACTGTTGTTGACGTAGCTGTCACTGGACAGACACACTGGACACTGGGGCTGGACCCTCCTCCTCAGCACGGCCGCCCCTCGGGACTCCAGGCCCCTGCGGCTCCCGCGGCCCGCGTCGGCACACAGCGCACGCACCAACGGAACCTCCGAGTCCGAAACCAGATGGGCGTCCTGCTCGCCTCACCTACCGGGCGGAGCCGCGGTCCAGGCGACCCCACGCATCTTCTCATTCCGTCCTTGAACGCTCGCCGAGAACCTGGAGCCTGGCCAGCATCGCCAACCCAGTGGCAAGAAGAGTTCACTGTGACGATTCCCCGTGACGGGTCGCAGAGGGGCGGAGAAGATGGGCCAGGCCGGACGGCTCCAGGACCGGGGACAGCGGAGGGGCCTTGGAGGCTCACCTGCAGAGCGGGGCGGGGGACCCAGATGCAGCGGGAGCTGCGGGCCCACCCACCCAGAGGTGCTCTGGAGAAGGACTGGGGGGTGGGGGCGGGGGTGGAGGCGTGGCTGGGAAATGGCTTCGAACGCCACCCAGACCCTTGCAGTCCCCGGTGTGGGTGACGGAGCCACAGGCAGGCGCGGGTGAGGGGCCGCAGACACTCTGAAAAGGCCCCAGGAGACTGTGAAACACTCGGGAGGAGAAAGCATGGAGCTCGAGGGCAACCTCTCAGCCCCCGAGGGGGCGCTTCTGCTGGAGCGAGCTGACCGCTATGTAGGCCGAGGCGCGCAGAGGCGGCCCACAGGTGTCCGTGTGGAACGGACTTGCAGGTCAGGCCTCTTACAGCAGGTCTGTCAACTCAGAAGATCGTCCCCCGCAGCTGTGACCCCCTCTGGCCCCCCTGCATGCACCCCAACAATTGGGCAGTTTCTCTGTCTCCTTGAACCCAGACTCGAGGCAAAGAGCCCCACTGGGCAGCTGAGCAAACACGGCCGTGCGGCCGCTCTCAGGACACGGGGGGCCGGCCCCGGGGGTCAGACGCACAGCCTAAGAAGAGGGAAAGTCAGGACTCCGCCCCCAGGAGCCTGCGGGAACCCGATTGCTGTGTCGGACACAACGTGTAAGAACCGCGTTTACCACCGGGGTCCAGCCTGAGACCTGGACCCGGGGGCCCCGGCCCGGAGCCCGGGGGGTCTCTGGCGGCTCGCGGGTGTGTGGGGCCTGCTCCTGCCGGCACCGGGTCCGCGGGGACGTGGTCGCCCGCGGGGGCCGCCGGAGTGGAGGCTGCGTTTCCAGAACCGGGAGCAAGTTCCGATGTGTGGTCCATTTTCTTCTTCATTCTGGAGTCTGAGGACGTGGGCAACAGGTTTCTCGTCACGGAAGATGCCAACAGCGTAGCGTCCGTCCCTGGCTTTACAAACCTGTGTAAACCGGGAGCTCCCTTACTTTGCGTTTCCTGGGGCGCGGGGGTGGGCTGCCGGGGGGCGGGGGCAGAAGAGCGAAGCCGTGGGCAGGGACATCCTGCCCTCCGCGGGTGGGGGCTCACGCGCGCGGTTCGCGGGGGAGCAGGTGTTCAGGGTGACGCGCCGCGGGCGGGCGCGCTCCCGCCTCGAGCCCCCTTCCCGCCGGGCCTCAGCGTCAACCGCGGGGCCACCCCACCCGGCCCGGACCCAGCCCCCGCCCCCGGCCCGCGCCGGCGCGCTCCACTCGGAGCCGCCCCCCGCGCAGCCTCGCGCTCCTCCCAGCGGCTGGGCCTTGGCGCGCGCGGGTGAGTGCGGGGTCCGCTGCGGTCGCTTTCCGGGGGCGAGGGCGTTGGGGGCGCCGGGAAGGTGCGCGGACCGCGGGCGCTCGCACAGGTGCCGGGCGGAGGCCTGCGCACGCGCACGCGCACGGAGACCCCAGTGAGGCGCCTTGTCCCCTGCTCGGGCGAGACGCCGGGCGGCGAGGTAGGAGGTAGGGGTGGCCACGGGGGGAGGCCGCGGCGAAACGCCCCGGAACCCGAGGACAGGGGCGCGGGGGCGCGGGAGGGTTGGGGTGACGGTAGTGGGGTGAGGGAGCGCCGGTGGGGGCGGGGGCCGCTCAGGCAAGGAGGCGGCGCGGGTGGCGGTGCGCGCGTGGGGGGAGGTCAGGGGGTGCGCGGACCTCGGTTCTGGGCAACCTCGAGGTCCCGCAGTGCGCTCCCGCGGGGTTCGGGGACAGCCAGCCTGCAGGCGTGCGGGGGGGGGCGGGCGCCCCCGCGGCGACCGCCTCCGAAGACACCGCCGCGGCCACCCGCTGTCCCACCACCGGTCGCACGTCACTGCGCCCGGCCTATCTGAGCGCAGCCCGGAGGAGCCGCCCCGCGCTCCGGCCGAGCGCTCCCGGGGCGGCGGCCGGCGGGCCGATGTTGTGCCCGTTCTGCTCGCGATGCCGGGCCGGGACTGCGGTTGTCCGTCTCCGGGCCACGGAAGTGGGGGTGAGAGGCCCCTCCCGGTCCTGGGCGACGTCTCGGAGTCCGTGCGGAGGCCGACCTCTGCGCCCGCGGGCAACGCGGGGGCGCTCTGCCCTCGCCCGCGGGATCCCGGCCCCTGCTCCCCCAGCTGAGCCCCGGATTACTCGGGGCTCCTGCAAACTGAAAGCTTTGTTTTCGGGGAGCCTTTGCCCCACCAACCGCGTGGATGGCCCGTGGCGATGCTATGGCGCGTGTGCACGTGTCTGACGTCACGGTGGCACGGGGTGGGGAGGTGGGGGGGCGAGAGGAGCAGCGTCGGAACAGCCCGCGAGTGGCCAGCCCAGCGCCACTGCGCCAGGCCCCGGGGTGCAGTTCAGACGCATTTCTGCGGCTGCCCCTCAGCCCGCCCCGCCCCCACGTGGGGGCGAGGAGGGGGCGTGCCTGCTCCGCGGTCAGGGCGGGGTTTCCTGGGGTCCCTCACTCACGCGTGACCGCTGAGTCTGGAACATTACATAAAGGAGGTTTTAAAAATTAACCATCTCTTGGTCCTGGCCGGGTGGCTCAGTGAGGTAGAGCACCCTCCGGGTACCCCAGGTTTGCGGGGTCAGCCTCAGGTCAGGGCACGCAGGCGAGTCAACCCATGACGCATCAATGAGCGGAGCAGCAAATCCACGTTCTGCCTCCCTCTCTGCTCCTCCCCCTCCCTTCCTCCCCCTCTTTCTCAAATCAATAATAAAACAATTAATCACCTCGTAGCTTCCTGCACAGCCATCCTCTGGGCGTCCACCCTCCCCCGAATCTGTTCTGAGGGGGAAGAACAAGCCAGTGTAGTGGGGGGCCTCATGCACTACAGGAGGTGACCTTTGGACTGTGGATTCCTGCCTCTCCCGTCCCCCCCCCCCCCAGCACGGAGGGCGGAAGGGTCGCCTGTGCTCTGTGTCTCACTCAGGGGCAATCACTGGGCCTCTGATTGGGGTCCGGGATGGGGGCCCCGTGGCCCGCGCCTCCCCCCCAGCTCTCGGTGTCCTGATCCTAGAGTCCCCCTGCAGGATCCGTGGACGGCGCCAGGGACCGCCCAGGCGGCACGTCCGTGGTGCTTGGCATTCCCGTCAGGAGGCGGGAAGTCCTTTGAGCGTCCGCCGTTCACGGCTCGGCGATCGTGAGACGGCGCTGAGTGAGCGCCAGCTGCAGGGTTCGAGTGCGGTGCAGACGGCAGCCTGGGGCCCGGGGGGGGGCGGGGGGGTGAGGAAAACCGAGCTAAAGGCCATCCGTTTCAGGCTGCAGCCGCTGGAGTCGGAGGTGTTCCAGGGGTGCCAGGGGCCCGACCGCCTTCCCGCACTCTGCGTTCGCAGGGAGAGTCCTGCCTCCGCCGCCCCGCACCTGGCCTGTCACCGGGAGGAGGGAAGCATCTGGATAGGGGGTGGCCGAGCCCTGGCTGCGCTCCCGAGCACCCACCCCCTCGTCCCCGCGGCTCCTGCCCCTCCACCCCCAGCTTCCGCGTGAGAAGCAGGTTCTGTTGTTCGGCTGGGAGAGCACGCGGGGCGTCTTTGTCCCCACATGGGAACAGAGGCCCCGCGCACTGCGGACGCCTCCGCGCCTCCGTTGTTTGCTAAATGCCAGCAGCTGCTCGCGGCGGAGCGGGAAGCTGCCGTGACTCAGGCAGCGGTGCCCACGCCCCGCGGCTCCGAGGCCGGGCCGCCCGTGGGCTGGAGTGGGCGGCCCATCGGGACCCAGCCTGGCCCTGCTGACAGCACACCTGCCCCTGGTGCCCGAGGGGGCGGCCACCCTGCCCTGGAGCTGGAGGGACCGCCGTCTCCTCGCTGGCCTCCGTGGACTGCCGTGAGGCCACAGCCCTGGTGCGGGCGCCCGGCGCTGCGGCAGAAGCGTTGACAAGGAGGATTAACTCTGAGACCAGAGCAGGGACTGCGAGCAGCTCCTCTCTGCCAACAGCCCGGCCTCTGCTGGAGAGGAGGCCACAGAAACACGAACCGAAGCCCACGTGGTTCCGGTGGCCGAACGTCCATCTCCTCCCGTCACAGACACTCGCCGAGTGCCCACTGCCACGGCCGGGCACACAGTCCAGGGGCCGGGGTGCCCGGTGAAACAGAGCCAGCCCCAGCCAGCCCTTGCAGCTTCGACTCCGACCAGGTGAAGGGTGTCGGCGTGGGATCCAGTGAACGCCCAGGTCGCCGCCAGCCGAGACGAATCTCCGAGGGCCTGGACGCACGCGGAGGAGGGGTACAGACCTGCAGAGGCCCCGGAGCGCGGACCGGGCTCCCTGGAGAGCCGGCCGGGGCCAGGCAGCACCCTTGGGGCAGGGGCACAGTTTTAACTTGGCCTCGTTTCTATCCCTAATTACCGTGGCTCTCTCTGGTGCAGGGGCAGGTGCCAGGGTGTGAAGGGTTACCCAGAACGTGGGTCAATCTTGCAGAACCGAGGCCTCTTCCCACGGAGGGGTGCAGGCTCGCTGTCCCGGGAGCCGGTGGCCCTCACGGTGCCACTGTCCGACGCCGTTGTTACCATGTCCCCCCGAGGCTCCGAGCCGCGGGGCACCTCTGAGTGGATGGCCCCGAGCCTGCCGCCTTTGCCCCACCCCCTCTCTGCGCTGTCAGGGCTGGGGCTGTCTCCTGTGCCGGCTCTCGTGTCACCGCTGTCCCTCGATCGGGTCCTGAACTGGAGTCGGAGCGGGCTGCCCAGGGCTCCCGTCGACACGGCAGAGCCCCCCCCCGCCCCGAGACCGTGGCAGCAGCGAGAGCCTGGCCCGTCCCGCCCCCAGCGGTCCCACAGTCCCCGCACCCCAGACGGAAGGTCTGCAGTCCCAAACACGCGTGTGGAGGCTGAGCCCCTGTGTGCAGTGTCGGAGGCGCCCCGTGGAGGCGAGCGGTGTTGCAGTGCGTCCGGCGCTCTCACGAAAGACACCCCTCTCCCCGCCCCCCCCACCCCCAGGCGGCCACGGCGACCCCTCACCGGACCCGGGTTCTGCGGACGCCCAGGTGCCGGCCGTCCAGGCTCCGGAGCTGAGACGCAAATGAGCGTGTGCGCGGCGCGAGGCCGCCTGCACCACTCAGAGTGGCGGGGATAGTGATGTGACTGCCTGCTAGTGTGCAGCCTGAGGGGGCCGGGAGGCGGGCCGGGGGTGTGCAGCTCCTGTCGCTGCCCCTGGGTCGCCTGAGGTTTGTCTGAGGGCCCTGCTGGATGGCCTAGACACTGCCCCCCCCCCCCAGAGAGCGTCTCTGTCTCCTGGGGTCCCTGCACTGGGTGAGTGGAGCAGCCTCGGGGCGGCCAGGCCTCTTCCCTGGGGAGCCTGGCGGCTGAGGCGCTGTGGACTGGGGGGTGGGGGGAGGCTGTGCCTCCTCCCTAACTCCCCTGAGAAGTCGCACTGTCGTGTGTCCCCATCACGGTGAGGAGGTCCTGCTGAGGGGGACACGCCCTGGTGGCCTTGGGGGGCTCTGACGCCCTGTGCCTGGGCCCCTGGGCTCCCCGCCCCTGCTGTGGCCGGAGTCCCTGCACCAGGTGCAGCGTCTCGTCTTTGGAATCGGGTCTGGGTGCGAGTGACTCGCGGGCATCCGTCCCCGGGCTCAGTGGCCTGGAAGTGAAGACCCGTTCACCGAGGAGGGATGGCCCCGGCCCAGCCACCCAGCACATGTAGGGACAGGCAGGGCGGGGCGGCTGCCACGGAGCCACAAGTTAGAGCCGGGAGGACGTGGGTGTTCGTGCACAGGGAGGGGGTCACGCTGCAGGGTCGGCTCCTGCAGCCATGGGAGCTGGCGAGCCGGACACTACCAGGGCCGTGACTGGCAGGGCGCCCCCTGGAGGACCGGCCCAGCAGCTGCGGCCCAAGGCGTCTGCAGGCGGAGTCCCTGCTCCTGGGGGGGGCCCACCCACCCACTGTGTCCCTCTTCCACCCACGAGGCCCCCCACCCGTGCCCCCGAATCCTGCAGGCTCGTTTGCTTTGTTCCAACTCCATGTCACTCTCCGGTAAAACAGGCCCCCCCGTCCCCGTGAGCCCGGCGTTTGACCAGGTCCCTGCAGCCCAGGGGACACGGGGGAGCAGCCAGTCCCCCCGTCCCGCCCCCCCCCCCCCCGATCGACCAGGGACAGGCCAGCACGGGGCGTGGCCGAGGCGGCCCTGAGGTGCCTGGAAAGCGCTGGTTCTGATCCGGGGAGCCATCTGCTCTTGGCTCTGCTCTCTGCGTCCTCGCCCCCGCCCCCCGGGGCGGTCTGGGGCCCAGGCACCTGCTTTCCTGTCGCGGGACATCTGCCGCGCCCGGCCCCGCTGGCAGGCTGCTGCTGTCGCACCGGGGGTCTGCACACCGGGGTTCCCGTGGGTCCTGCCGGGGTCCTTCCCCGGGGGGACAACGGCCCCGCCCACTTGGCCCGGGGACCTGGGGACAGGAGTTCTGTCTGCGTCTGGGACGCAGGCTCTGCTCTCTGCGAGCACCGGCAGGCTCCCCCTGCAGAGCCTCGCCCAGCCTCCTGTGTGGCCTTGCCCCGAGGTGTGACGGTGCCCCCGATGGCTGTCCCCTGGGCTCCGGGCAGCTGTCTGGTTTGCCCGCTTGTGAGGCTGGGAAGGAGAACAGTTTGGTTTCAGCCCCCGCGAGGCCTGGTCCCTTTATTCCCCCTTTGCCCCGTGAACACGGGGTTCCTCGTTCAGCTCCTGTCTCTGTCATTGGTCCAGTCACTGGGGGACAGGTCGCCAGAGCCCCCGGGAAGGCTGGGACCGTGCAGGTGGCCCGGGGAAGGGAGGCCAGGCTGGCCGGCCCGGCCGGAGACAGGTCCCCACAGGGAGCACAGCGCTCCTCCCTGGGCGGCCGGCAGCGGCTGTCACCGGCCCCTACTCGCACGTGTGGTCACGTCACCCACCGAGAGACGTCCGAGCCACAGAGCTCCACACGGCTCTCAGAACCCAGCTGGACAGTGTCCGAGGTCCGGCGAAGGAGGCCTGACAGCCATCTCGGCGGATTTTCACGGCCGGCTGTCCGGCTGGACGTGCCCTTAACCCCGCCGCCCTTCCCAGTCCCCCAAACAGCTGGCGGCGGGGGTGGCCGAGGGGGCAGGCGGCAGGGAGACCGTCGGAGCCCCGGCGCGGCCGACCGCGCAGCCTGGGGCTCACGTCCCGTCCCCTCAGCCGGGGGCCTCGGGCTGGAGTCCGGCAGTGACACGGGCCACGGCTCGCCGCGGGATGCAGCGCCCCGAACATTCTCTGTTGCACAGTGCCCCCCCCCATCACCTCCGCAGGCCGGTGCCGCTCGGGGGCAGCAGGGTGGACACGGCGCCCTTCCTGCCGCGAGACGCACGTGAAGGGAGGGGGCCGGAGGCGGCGGCTGTGCGGCGCAGTCCGAGGGGCGTAGACGTGGACGGGCGTCTGGTGGGGACGAGTGTGTGTGTCCGTGTGCACGTGTGCGTCTGCGTGTGGGTGTGTCCATGCGCACATGTGCGTCTGCGTGTGGGTGTGTCAGTGTGCACGTGTGTGTCTGCGTGTGTCCGTGTGCACGCGTGCGTCTGCGTGTGGGTGTGTCCATGCACACGTGTGTGTCTGCATGTGGGTGTGTCAGTGTGCATGTGTGCGCCTGCGTGTGTCTGTGTGCACGTGTGCGTCTGCGTGTGGGTGTGTCCATGCGCACGTGTGCGTCTGCATGTGGGTGTGTCCGTGTGCACGTGTGCGTCTCTGTGTGGGTGTGTCTGTGTGCACATGTGCGTCTGCGTGTGGGTGTGCCTGTGTGCATGTGTCCGTCTGCGTGTGGGTGTGTCCGTGTACGTGTGTGTGTGTGCGTGTGGGTGTGAGTGTGCACCTGCGTGTGGGTGTGTCAGTGTGCACGTGTGCGTCTGCGTGTGGGTGTGTCTGTGTGCACGTGTGCGTGTGTCCGTGTGCATGTGTGCGTCTGCGTGTGGGTGTGTCCATGCGCACACGTGCGTCTGCGTGTGGGTGTGTCAGTGTATGTGCGTGTGTCTGCGTGTGGGTGTGTCAGTGTGCACCTGCGTGTGGGTGTGTCAGTGTGCACGTGTGCGTCTGCGTGTGTCCGTGTGCACGTGTGCGTCTGCGTGTGGGCGTGCTGCGCGGACGGTCTGGTGTGAGCACCGCGTGGCGCCACTTCTCCCCGGCAGCGCCATCCTCCGGGGGAGCGTGGCGGCCACGGCGGGAAGGTGCTGGTCGCCCCCTGCGCCCCTGTGGGGGCCGCCCGGCCGACGGCTCTCCCGCCACGGCTCCCGCCCTTTCTAGTGAGTCACAGCAGAGAGAGCACGGGAAGTTCTGGGCCCCTGGCCCCGGCCAGAGGGAAAGACAAACACCACATTTCCGGAGGCCCGAGGGCTTCCGTGTGGTGCAGGAGCGTGAGGGGAGAGCCGGGCGACAGCCCGCTGCCCGGTTTTGTCTCAGACGCGCGGGGCCGTGCGCACTCGGGGAGGCAGGTGAGCGGGGCTTCGCTCGCGCCCGGCTCTCCCGAGGGTGACTCAGCCGAGCCCTTGGGACAGTGCCAGCGGCTTTGCTTGCAAAACCCCCGCAGGTTTCCGGCTTGTCATCACATTCCGGCGCCGGGGGCCTGTGCTCTCTGCCCTTCCAGGGACGCGGCCCCCGGGGAGCTGCGGGGGCAGCGGGGGCAGCGGGGCAGCTGAGTAAACAGCCTGTCCCGTCCCGTCCCGTCCCGTCCTGTCAGCAGCTGCTCAGCATCTCCCCCCCCCCCGCCCCACCTCCAGGGGCCCAGGGCTGGGGTCACTCTCAGCAGTTCTCACGGTGCTTCCCTGGGTCCTCGGGCAGCGCCTCCCCGTCGTGGATGCGCCCCAGAGATAAATCGTTCAAGGCGTCGGGAGGGGCAGGGGGGGTGCTGAACATCTCACGCCTGAGAATAATCAGAGAGAGGTTTTCACTGACCCTGTAGCAGGGAGGGCTGGGCAAGCAGATGCACACGCAGGCACACGCAGGCACACGCAGGCACACACACACCCGGCTCAGGCGTCAGGTCACAGCATGAAGTGAGATGATCTGGGAATCGGCAGGCGTTGCGGGTGGGTAAGGGACATCCCGTCTCCTTTGAGAGGCAAGTGCATCCCCTGGGAGGCCCGTGAGCCTGAGCCCTGGGTCTTCCCCCTCCTCCTTCCTGGGAAAGCCGGGACGGTGGGGCCCGAGGCCGCCGAGCCCTCCCCGCTGCGGAGTCTCCACCGCCGTTCGGCCGAGTCGTTTGGCTTTTCTTTTGCTGCACGAGAACTTTCCGGGGAGTCGCCTCTCTGAGGCCCTCCACTCCCATGAGTCCAAAAATGAGCAGGCCGGGCGGCTTTGGAGCCGCAGGGACCGCCCCCCCCCCGCCCGCACCTGTCTCCTGGTCTAATTCACCTGCCTCCAAATATTTGTCCTGCCGGAGGTGAGATAAGGGCTGGGGGAGAATCCGGGGGCCGTGCCCCGGGGCCATAAAACGGTGAGGCGACTGGGACCGGCTGTGCCCTTCAGGCACGCACGCTCCGTTTCCTGTTGTGTGCGCTTCACCGGGGTGAGACTGGGAGACCGGACCGTCGCCTGCTCTGTCCCACACGCTGGGTCGCGGCCCACAGCCCAGCCCGGCGCCTCGAAGGCCGGCCCCCTGAACTGAGCTCCCCCCACAGACCCCCACCGCCCGGGGAGGGGCAGCGAGGGGCGGTTTTTAGATTCCTGCTGCTCGGGCAGGTCTGATCGCCGAACCGTCCAGAGGAAACGCCAGGCCCCTCCCACCGGGCTGACCTCTGTGACCCGAGACCTGCGGCGGGAAGTGGGACGAGAGCCACCGGCACAGACGGTCCCCGGGAACGCAGGCTCAACATCCTCTCTCTCCCTGACCCACAGGAACCGGCGGCGAGTGACGCGCACTGATAAGGGAGCTGCTGACCGCCCGGCGGAGGAAGCGACAGAGCGAGGCCCCCCACTGAGTGACCCTGGTTTTCCAGCACGCACCTGGCAAGTGGGGTGCAGACTCGCACAGGTGAACGGCCGGCCCCACTGCATCGCCAGAGCCGCGGACGGCGGGACCCACGACGGACACGCCCCTTGCTGACTCCTCATAACCCTGAGTGACAAGTGGGGGTCACGAAAAGGGACAGCACCCGGGGGGTGGCTCTTCACGGAAGAGGGAGCTAAAGTGCAGGCCCTGAAGTGTGAGGTCCCTGTCTCCGATCTGCGGGTGCCGGGGGCACCCAGGTGGCGGAGTGCAGACTGGCATGTAGAGAGAGGGCGCGCCCTGGCGTGTCCCGTGCTCCTGAAACCCGGCTCTGCAGAGAGGCAGCCGCCACACGCCCAGCGGGGCCGGCTGCAGGGCTGCCCTGGGGGCCGACCGAGGCAGCGCGACCCGGCCTGGGGACCAAGCACTGCGACCTCAGCACGTGGCTAGCCAAGGGTGACGCCGGCAGGTTCCCTGGGTTCTCGGAGAGGCACCTGGGGCTGGCGCACTCTCTTCTCGGGAGAGGAGGCGGGAAGGGCGCCAGGGGCGCGGCGTGTGAACAGAACCCAGAGTGGACCCAGAAGCAAAATCTGATCCCCTGCCACGGCCCGAGGCCACAGAGGACCCTTCGACCTTGAGCAGCCCGAAGTCATGGTGGGCTCCTGAGGGGAGGGTGGCGCTGCCATGGAGAATCCGGTGGCCCCCTGTGTCCTCTTCCCGGGGGGCGACGGCGGCCCCGAGCCCCGGGGCCTCTTGGCCCAGGGGGTGTGTGGCCAGGCTGGGGGCAGCGGCGCGCCCGAGGCTCCGGGAGAGGGCAGCCTGCAGCTGCCGGATGCAGCCGCGGGGGGGGGCGCTGTGTCCCCGGCGCAGTCACCCTGCAGCCTCAGCGCGTCCCTGTGCTTCAGCTCCGGGGACGAGTCCCCGCCGCAGTCCCGCGCCTCCGCCCCGGAGGGCGCAGCGGCCTCCCCGCCCTCCTGTCGCAGTGGCCAGCGGGTGGTGGAGAGGCAGTGGGAAGTCAGCAGCTCCGGCGCCCTGTCGCCCGAGGACTCCGAGGAGACCGCGTTCCCGGAAGAGCCCGCGTCCCCGGAGGAGCCCGCGTCCTGGGAGGAGCCCGAGGACCCCGCGCCCGTGCCCCCCGGCGTCGGGCCCGCGCACGGGGAGCCGGACCTGGTCATCGAGGTGTCGGGCCGCCGGCTGCGGGCACATAAGGCTGTGCTGGCGGCGCGCAGCGACTACTTCCGTGCGCGCGCGTCGCGGGACGTGCTGCGGGTGACCGGCGTGGGCTGGGCGGCGCTGCGGCTGCTGCTGGCCTACGCGTACAGCGGGCGCATGGCGGGCGTGCGCCCCGACAACGTGGCCGAGGTGGTGGCGGGCGCGCGCCGCCTGCAGCTGCCCTGCGCCGCGCAGCGCGCGACCGAGGCCGTGGCGCCGCAGCTGAGTCTCGCCAACTGCCTGGAGGTGCTGAGCGCGGCCAAGAGGCAGCGGCTGACGGAGCTCCGCGACGCCGCCTACCGCTTCATGAGCGACCACTACCTGGAGGTGCTGCGCGAGCCCGCGGTGTTTGGGCGCCTCTCCGGGGCCGAGCGCGACCTGCTGCTGCGCCGCCGCCTGCGCGCCGGCCGGGCCCACCTGCTGGCTGCCGCGCTCGGGACCGCCGGGGAGCGCGCCGGCAGCCGGCCGCAGAGCCCGTCGGGGGACGCGGAGGGCCGCGGGGACGCCGCCGTGTACTGCTGGCAGGAGGAGGCCGGCGAGTGGCGCGAGCTGACGCGGCTGCCGGAGGGCGCGCCCGCGCGGGGCTGCGGCCTGTGCGTGCTCTACAACTACCTCTTCGTGGCCGGCGGCGTGGCGCCCGCGGGCCCCGACGGCCGCGCGCGCCCCTCGGACCAGGTCTTCTGCTACAACCCGGCCACGGACCGCTGGAGCACCGTGCGGCCGCTGCGCCAGGCGCGCTCTCAGCTGCAGCTGCTGGCCCTGGACGGCCACCTGTACGCCGTGGGCGGCGAGTGCCTGCTCAGCGTGGAGCGCTACGACCCGCGCGCCGACCGCTGGGCCGCCGTGGCCCCGCTGCCGCGGGGGGCCTTCGCCGTGGCGCACGAGGCCGCCACCTGCAACGGGGAGATCTACGTGTCCGGGGGCTCGCTCTTCTACCGCCTGCTCAAGTACGACCCGCGGCGCGACGAGTGGCAGGAGTGCCCGTGCAGCAGCAGCCGCGAGCGCTCGGCGGACATGGTGGCGCTGGACGGCTTCATCTACCGCTTCGACCTGTGCGGGGGCCGCAGCGACGCGCAGGCCGCGGGACAAGCCGGCGGGGTCAGCGTGCTGCGCTACCACTGCCTGGCCAAGCAGTGGAGCCGCTGCGCCTCGCACCTGCGGCCCCCGGGCGCACCGTCAGGCCTGCAGCCCTTCCGCTGCGCGGCGCTGGGCGACCGCATCTACTGCGTGAGCCGCGCCGGCACCTGGCGCTTCGTGCCTCCGCGGGACCGCGAGCCCGGCGCGGAGGAGGCTGCGGGAGGCAGCTTCGAGGCCGAGGCGCTGGGCGCCCCCCTGGATGTCCGTGGCGCGCTCTTTCCCTTCGTGCTCAACCTGCCGGAGAAGCCAGACAGAGGCGAGGAGGGCCCCGATTAGGGCGAGCCGGGGTGCCCCGGGCGTCTTCTCTGGCGGCCCCGGGACGGGGAAGGCCTCCTGGGAGCGGAGGACGGGGAGGACGCCAGGGAGCAGAAACCAGAGTGCAGAGCGTCCGGACTGGGAAGGGGCGGAGGGAGCGGTGGAGGGGAGGGGAGAGGGCGGGGCGGGCTGAGGGCCACCGGGTCCTTTGAGGCTTTGAGGTGAGAAGCGCGTGGCGGGGCCTCCCAGACTGTTCGCGGCGCTGGCGGAAGAACCGCTTCTCGACCTCGCGTGTTCCTTTTCGCTTCGCTTTGCTTGTCGGGTAGATGGTGTGAGACGGGGGATGCAAGGGGACAGGTACCCTGGGGAGGGGTGACCAAAAGAAGCAGCCTCAGGGCGGGCCGGCGGGCCCACGGTGCATCCAGGAGTGGAGTGGAGTGGGCAGGCGGCCAGGTGGAGCCCTGCGGGGCCGCGGAGCTCACCGGCCGTCAGCAGGCCGGGCGGAGCTGGTGCGGCAAGGGGGCCTAGGTGAGCCCCATCAGCGACCACGGGGACCCGCGCATGTTCTGGCTGGAGGGTGGACATGAAGCAGAGCCCTCCCACCGCCGCAAGAGGAGGGTCCTGCCACCGCGGGCTCGGGCTTTGGTTGGCTCAACTCCAAATGCACACGCATTCGAGGTAAAAACCTTTGGTGACCGACTCGAGCTCTCGTCCAGTAAGCAGCGGCCGCACGTTCTCTGCCGCCCGCTGGTCGCAGGTGGGGGCGGCCCCACCCACGCCCCAAAAGGCTCCAGCTCGCTGTCGACTCAGGCGGGTGTCACGTGTTCGAGTTAAGGCATGTTAATAATTACACCCCGTGGTGGAGTGACGACGGACTGTTACTTGGATTGCAAATCTTTGGAGGCTGAATGTTTCCCAAGAGCATATCTGGGCGAGGAAACGCTGGCGGCAGCCAAGGTGCTGGCCTGTTTTAACCGTTGGCAGGCAGAGAAGAGGCTCATCACTTGCACACTTTATAACGGACTCAAGGAGGGAAGTACTCCCCCCGCCCCAAGGAAGGTTAAACTCACCGCTGCTGACGGAGCTGAAGGCAAGCTCCCTGTGAACCCTCCACCTCTGCTGTGGTCAGCAAGCATCGTGGGATTCTGGTGAGGGCAGCGGATCTTATACAATACCCTTCTAAGAGCACGTGGCAGAGTGACATGGGGATCTAAGGGGACAGAGCAGGCATGCATGATGCGGTTCGTCCGGTCAACACTGTGTGTTCCCGGCTGTGAGTTCCGAAGTGCCATCACAGAGTCAGCACGGAACTACTTTGACGGGCACAAGGGCTAACCACAACCAGCTCGACCCCTTTGTTCTAACGCTGTACATTGCCAATGCGGACCCACGGGGCTTACTGACTATTCAGAGTTCAAGGACAACATGCGTGCTCACCTGGATTCTGTGCCCAGTCACGTTCTGCTGGCACTGGGCATCACGCGGTGGCAGTTCCCGGGGCGAGACCGGGCGGCGTCACACGGAGCTTCGTGTCTCTCACTGGTCCGTGCCGCGAAGGGGGGACCCTGCGGCTGCGGGCAGCTGGGGACCGGGCTGTGCCCCGGACAAGGCGTCTGCGGTCCTGAGAGTCCCCGTGACTCACGTTTGCAAGTGACCAGCTCGAGCTTGATGCCCGGGCCGGAGGGACGCAGTCCCTCACAGTTTCGGTGGGAGTTCAGGGGACTCGGATGCTGCTGGCTCGTGACCCGAGGAGGAGATGGCTCAGCAAATGGGCTCCTCGTCTTAGGAACGGAACGGGCCTCCTGTCGCAGGAGAGGGGGAGTCCTGGTGGGAGGAGGACTCGGAGCCCAAGGAAACAAATCACGTTCTTTTAAAGTAAGTGTGTGTTCCGTGTCGCAGTGCACGTGTCTGCAGACTCTTATGATCTGGGCCGAAGTGTTCAGAGGACGCGGAACCGGGCTGACCTTTTCATTGCCTGAGTGTCAGGCGTGAACTGGTGTCACTGTGATTGCACCTGGGGAATCGTTCCCGTGGTGGTTACCATTTCGGACAAAGTGCTGGATGTCGGGTGTGGGCGGCCACACCTGTCTCGACACACACGGACACCTGGCGGGGCGGGGACAGGACGTGGAATGTTCTGTGTCACACGTCTGCATAGGATGTCACACCCAACGCTGGAGGACCCGGCAGGCCACGGGGACCAGTTTGTTCCGCTCTGCGGGCCAGCTCGGGGAGAAGCCACGGGGTTGGCACCGATTTACACGGACGGGAGAGCGGCCGGAGCAGGACTGCAGACTGGACAGGCTGGGTGGGGGAGGGGCCTGGGCACCGCGGTTCCGCGGAAGGACGTTCCACGCTCTGTGTGGTGCTCTCAGTCCGCACCGGACACTGCGCTGGGACACGGTTGGTGCAAAGCGGTCTCCACCTGGGATCCGCCGTGGAGCGAAGCGGATGCACTCAGGACAGCTGCCCCAGCCCTCAGGCAAGGGGACACGGGGGCGCAGGAGGGCTTGGTCTCTGGGTCCGAGGACCAGCGGTGACTCTTCTGTGGTCCACCGAGGTTCTCGTGGAACCCAAGGGGATGGCGGGAGTGCCTTCAGTTTCTGTCGAACGGCCCCCGTGCTGTGTCTGGAACTTGGTGATTTTACTTCTGAGTTTCTTTTCCTTCAGGAGAACCAACGCTGTGGAAATCCTTTGGCTACTTAGTTGCAACGGTCACCTGTATCAGCTTGGTTACAAATGCCTGAGAAAACAACCATCTGGTCCTTTGCCCGCTCGCTTTGCTGTCAGCGCTGGTAGTTCTGGGGGCGGCAGGTTGCGGGCGGGTCTCCTGGGTGACTTCCTCTGAGAGCGTTTGAAAGGGAATGCTCTTTGGGTGCCCCCTCTCCCTGGGGCCGGGAGCCTTCCAGCCTCTTTGTGGTAACACCTCCGCGGGGGAATGTCCACGGAAGCGCTCCTTGGTGTTCGGTCTTATTTCAGGTGCCTTCCTCGCTTACTATGGAACGTTTTATTTTTGCATTGAAAAGTGGATGTTCCTCTCCCCTCCCCTCTGCATTATTGCTGTGCTCGAGAGAGGACCAGCGCTCAGAAGGGGTTGCGTGCGCACGCCTGTCTGCTGCGTCTGAATTTCTGTCGGGGGCTGCGTCCTCTCCACACCCGACCCCAAGGCGGTGCCTGCACCACACGCGACCCCAGCCCCCCGGCGCCGCCCTGGCAACCGGGCGCTTTCCTGCGGCCGAGGGACTCCTTTGAAGGGACGCCGAGCGGAAGGCGCGCTGCGCACTGAGGCCCGCTCACCGTGCGGTGTGGCCGCGTAGGAGACTGACCGGCCCGTTCAGGGCCCCGCTCCGGCTGCCCCTGCTGCCTGCGCAGGCCACGTGCTGACCCCCGTCCCAGGCTGTAAATCGTGTGTGTCCGTTTCCCCCGTGGTGAATAAATCGTTGGAAAATGCCAGTGCTCCTGAAGTCTGTGTGGATGGCTTGTCCCTGCCTGGGCCCGAGGCAGCGCCCCGGGCGAGGCGTGCGCTACGGAAAACAGACTCAAAGGTGGGCTGGGGGTGGGGTGGGGTGGGGGGGCGGCGCTGCCAGCCAAGGTCCACCTGCCCACCTGTGAGGAGGACATTGACGAGGCCCGAGGGTCCTTCCGGTGACAGCTGCTGAGTCACAGGGACTTGGAGTCCTTCTGAGGGGCAGAGGGTCATGCTTCTGCCTGCCCCCTCCCTGTCCCCTTCCCCGTGTCCTGCAAGGGTGCCCTTCAGGCCCTGACACCCAGCGCCCCTGCGTGTCCACGCTCAGCCTCCCACCCACGAGGGGCGTGAGATGTGTTGACCCAAACATTCCTTGTCCCAGGTTGCACTCAGCAAGAGCAGGGGCCCCGGGGTTCCTGTTAAGTCATGAAGGTTCTTCGCAAACGTATTTGTTTTCCTCGTGACATCTTTCTTCATTCACGGCAGGGGTGGGGTGGGGTGGGGGAGGGGGTGTCGCGAAGAGAATACTCCTAGGCCAAGGTGGAGGTAGGAGCTCAGCGACCTGAACTGGCTGCTTCCCACAGTTCCGTCGGCGGCGTTTCCTGGCAAACGTGTGATTAAGTGTCTGAACGTTCCTGCAGCTTCAGCATTTCTCTCTGCTGAGATCGGGGTTTCCACGGTCGGTCGGAGTGCGGCTCCGCCTCGGACCCTCGGGCGCAGCTGTCAGGGCGCAGAGCACGTGGGCTGCTGAGGCCAGCCAGGGAGGGGTCTCCCGCGGGGGTCGGGGCCCGGAGGGGAGCGGGAGGAGCGCGCCTCACCTGCGCTGGTGTTCTTGTCAGCCGGCACGGGGGGGGGGCGGGGGGGGCTGCGGTGTGAACTCTCCCGGCACACGGATGTTTGTGGGGAAGAGTTCGCGGTGCCCGATGGTTTAGAGGCCCCCTCCCTTCCGCGCCCCGAGTTGCTGGTGGCGGGTGTCCCGTGCTGGGCCCCTGGCCCGGACAACCTGTCCCGCACCCGGCAGCCTCCCCGACTCCGGTGCGGGTATGAGTGCCTGGGCTCCATGTGGACCCAGGGGACAGAGCTCCCCCCCGCAGCGCCCCGAAACCTCCTCTAGGTGGTGGCCGGCTGGTGCTGAGCGCCTGCGCGGTGCCGGGCTCTGTTCTGGGCTCCAGGCGGCCACTCACTGACCCCAGCCCCCCCGGGCACCGCCCCCCCCCCCCCCACCACCAGGAGGCCCTCGCAGACAGAGGGGAATCCCCCCCTGCACCGCCAGGGGGCGCCCGGACCGCTCTCCTCCCCCAGGTGTGGCCCGGGCCGCCCCGGCACTGACCCCCGAGGTCCAGGGCGCCTCGGGTCCCAGGAAAGAGATCTTCGCGCTCCGCCGAGGGCCCCGGGACGGGGCTGCAGCGCACGGGGACGCCGACAGCGGTCCCGGCGTTCAGTGCGGATCGGCAGGTGCGCCCACTACGACCACGGTTGCGGGTCCCTAGCAGCAGGAAGCCCAGACTCCCCCGCTGGCCCGCGGGCTCTGTGGCTCCGCCCCGCTCGGGCCTCCGCGCCGCCTCCGGCCACCGATCCCGCGGGCGCGCTTTCCCAGCCACTCCGGCCACCGCTGACCCTCACGAGGGCACCCGTCCCCCAGCCTGCGCTCGGTGACCCTCCGCCCGGCGCTCCGGCCCAGGGCCCACCGCCCACCCCCTCGGCCCTGTCCAGACGGCCTGCCCCCGGCCGGGCCCTGCGGCTCCTGCGGCCCGTTCGGTTTTTCACGGCGGTTCTCGTGACTCTGCCGCCGGGTCACGTCCGCATTAACAGTGTCCTGCGCACCGTGGCTTCGTTGTCCTTGTCCACGGGGAGCACGTCTTTGTCTGCTCGTGCGCCGTGTCCGTGGTCCTCCCCAGAAACCCAGCTCCGGGAAGATCCGGGCCTCCTCCCGTCCCCCGTATCCCCAGGTTCCCGGCCTGTGGCTGGGCCAGGACAGGCGCCCACGCGGTTTGCGGGCGGGACTCCCCACGGCCCGGCCGGAATCGACGGAGAGGCGCCAGCGGAGGGAGAGGAGGGAACGCCGTCCTGGAGAAGGTTCCAGACGGCCCGCGGCACCGCCGCTCACACGGCCCTCGGGTTCGTCCCAAACGCCCGCTCCCGGGACACGCGGACGGGTGCAGGAGCAGGTGGAGCGCCTGCTCCGGGGCGCGGGCCTGGCTGTTCGCAGAGAGTTTGCCCCGACCCCAGCTGCCTCTCGCACTCTCGCTCCTGGCTTTCGTTTCCCTGTCCCCGCTCTCCTCACCCCGTGTGTCCACCACCCCCAGGGTCACAGGCCGGCCGTGCTGCAGCACCTGACCCCGCGCAGGCGCGTCGGCGAGGAGCGCGGAGGGCGGACACGCCCCGGCGCGCGGTCAGGGTTCGGGGCGCCCCTGCGCTGGGACGTCCTCACGGTCCCGCTTCGCCGGGACTGGGCGGGTCCCTGGAGCGGGCCGTCCGTTCGCACCGGCTCTGTGGACGGCGGGCGGTGTTTGCAGACCCCGCTCTGCCCGGAGGATCACCGTGCGCGCGGCATTTCCTGCGCAGTGGTTTGGTTTCCATTCCGCAGAGAGACGTGATCGCACTGTACCGTAAACACAATCATAAGGGTGGAAAGTTTCCAAGCCGTGAATCTGGAAAGCGTTAACTGTTCTCCAAAGTGCAAACCCTCAGGGCCTGATGGGAAATGCTGCATGTTTTGAGGTGCCCAGCGTGGAAGTGCCCGGTACGTGGGGAGAGAAACCTGGCCTGAGTTCGTTCGGTGGATTCGGTGGGGCGGGAAGTCGGCCACACCTCGTGAAGGAGGCGATTTGACGGCGGGTGGCCTGGGCTGGGCCGTGAGCCGGCGGCCAGGGGCACCGACTCAGCAGCCCAGGCTCCTCGTCTGCTGGGCGGTCGCCACCCACGGGCAGCGTCCCCACGCAAACGCGTGCCCAGCCCCCCTCCGGGCCGCAGGAAGCCCACTCTGCAGGTGCCGCAGCCCCGAGGCTTGAGTGTGGGGGGGGCGGACGGGGGCGGCCCCCTGCCCTGACCCTCCGGCCTGCCCTCCCAGCCGCCTCCTCTCCCGTGGTGGCTCCTGTGTGAGATGCGGCGGGAGGGTGGTCACTGAGGCCTGAGAAGCGCAGCCGGACTCGGGCCAGGGCGGGAGGACGCAGCATGGCTGGGCGCCTGCTGTGGGGGGTGGCTGAATGTCCCCGGGGTGCAGACCAGACACAAGGCCCTTTGCTCCGGCACCGAGAGCCCAAGTCCCCCCCATTCTCCACCTGCCCCGTCAACACACGTGCACATGTGATATTCTGCACAGAATTTAACATTTAAATTAGTTTCACGAGTCAGCGTGACTGACTTTGTGACAGACCGCGGGGACGGAGGTTGCAGCCAACCTCCTCCTGGGGCGGAGGCCCAGCACGCCCCGGGTGACTACTGCCCCCTCTCCGTCTGTCCGTGCGTCCGTCTGTCCCTCTGTCCCCACGGGGCTGGCTCACGCGGAGGACGCGTGTCCGTGGGTGTCGCATGGGGGGCGCAGGTGGGCGGAGCTGTCGGGTGTCTGGTGTTTGCCCTTCTCACTGTCTCCGCCCCGTGAGGGGTGTCTGTGTTCCCCGTCTGTGGGCTGTGGGCGGACAGCTCTGCTGTGTGTGTGTGGGGGGGGCTGCGCCTGCAGCGCCCCTCCCACCTGACGGAGCCGCCGGCCCGCCCAGCGACCTGCCGCCCAGGTAAACCGGTACGCTGCCGCCTCGCCTGCTAGTGAGATTCAAATCCAACACCCCCCCCCCCACTTTTTTGTGCAAATGGACGGGCATCTGCCCTGTGCACCGGAGCACACTTCCTTCTGCGGCCACAGCACAGCCTGGAAACCAAAGCTGGAGCAGCTGGCGGCGACCGGGCCCCTGGGCGCCACCGGGCCCGGAGTATGCACCGCACCCGGAGTCCGGCCCGGAGGGGGCTGCGGGCAGCCTGGCCTCAGGGCCCTGAGGTTGAAAACGCCGTTTCCCTGGGAACTACGGGGTCAAGAGTTAGGTTCCTCTTTCAGCCGAGTCCCTGCCTAACAGCGGTTGCTATTTGCACGTGTTTACTCTGAAAAATGTGACTCTGGGTCCAGCGGGGACTGGTTTGACCCCCAGACGGTCGGGGCCGCCTCTGCGGCCCTGAGCTCAGCTTCCCGTGTGGTCTGGGAGCCCGACGGCGGGGGGGGGGGGTGCTTTCCCCCGGCGGGGAGGGGCCTGCGGAGGAGCCAGGGGCTGGGTGGGGGGCGGCCGGGAGGGAGGCGGGGGTCCTCCCCCGAGGGGCAGCCCCGCCCTGGGAGCGCTCTCACGGGGTCCCAAGCCCCGGGGGTGGGGTGGGGGGGGCGGGGCGCTGGCCCCGCTCACGGCGCCCGGCGTTTCCCCAGCGGCCGGCCCCCTTCCCCGCGGTTCGGTCCCCGCTTCCGCCCGCCCGGGCAGGACTCGGACAGACCGAATCGCTGAGCTGCCGGCCGGGCTCTGCGTCCAAGACGCTTCCCTCCCCTCCGGCCCCGCAGACGCGGAGGCACAGAAAGGAGGACAAGTGTCCGTTGTCCTCCTGCGTGTCTGACAGTGACCGTGGGAATGAGCCCGGACGCACAAAGGCCCTTTCTCCCCGCTGACCTCGCGCCTCGGGGCTGCATTCCTCGCGGTTGCCCTGGCTCCCCCGGGCGCGCGTCCAGGGCCCGGGCCGGGCAGCGCACAGCGCCCTCTGCCGCCCGGAGCGGGCGTTGCAGCGCAGAGAGAACGCGCCCTTCCTGACTCCCCACTTGCTGACTCAGGGTCACAGGGGCCCCTTCACGGAGCTCCTGGGGAAGCGGGGCGGCTCTGGGCGCTCTCCGCGAGCTCGCAAGTCGCCCTCCGGCTCGGGGCCCCAGGAATGGACGCCCTCCCTCCCCCTCTGTCGCTCTGTGTCCTTACTGGGTGTTCCTTCGGCAGGGTTCGAATGCCCCTGCACCTGGGGTACACGC